ATTTTTGTTTTGCTATGCTGGGACTATAATGATTTAAATTAGTCTCTCTATTCTCAACATTATTTCCCGACTTGTATCGTTATTTACTGGATTTGTTGTTTGGGTATCATCACTTGACATACTTATTTTAAAAAACTTGTACGTAAAACATGATCAGTAGACCTTAGCAATCTTTAACTATCACAGCACAAATTTATTAAATCCAAAATACATTTCATGTCTAATTCCGCCTTTTCAAAATACTTTTACAGAGTGTTTCTGGTATGCTTCGGGAAAAATGTCTAATTGATTTAAGAGAAATGAAATCAAGCCTAGTGATCCTGAAAATATAATTGACTTCTAATATAACATTGTGGACTAAAGTCTATGATTTAACAATGGATGCTGACGATGTTATCCCTTTTGGCTCTTTGAAATTAGGTTTTATGTTTAAAATGCACAGCATTGGAATGCATTGTAGAGCACCTCTTGGAATCTTATAAGGAAAATAATTTCCGCTTGCTCCTTAATATTAACTAACTGTTTCGCCTATAGGAACAGAATATTTAATCTTTTAATTCCATTAGGCTTTCTGAAGCCCTCTAATCGAATATGATTTGCTTCAATATATAATATTCAGTCATGACATGCTTACTCATTTTATAAAGCTTATGCATTTATCAGCATCATTTAGTTGTCAAATTCATTTAAGATTGAATTATGTATTGATCATGCCTTTAGGAAATTTGCCTATCCATCAAGTATAAAATGCTGACTAGAGGATTAGCTACGTGCCGAAGGTTTTTTTACGCAAACCCAATCTGTTATTATTTTCTTTGTTAGAATCTTCGAACTCAGCGTTAGAATTGTGAGAATTAAAGATCTGACTGAAACCTAGGGCGTGGCTTACTTTGCCAAATTAATTCTTTTTTTGAGAACTCGAATGGCTTATACTTAATTTTTATGCGGAAATCTTCCTAACTTCTGTCTTATTCCTAGCGATGGTGTCTTGGAATTCTACAGCGTCTTGAAGAGCTGGATCATTTAGCTAAGAAGTTTCATGTTAAATGCGCCACTCATGAAGCCTGGCTGGCAGGCAAACCAGAAGCACTGGCTTCTACCGACTACCTAGGTGCAAGCCTTACGGAGCTGCGTGCTATGCGTAAGAAACATGAAGCCTTTCTCTCCGATCTGGGTGCGCACGATGCTCGTGTTGACAGAATCATCGCCATCGCCGAAGAACTTAAGTAGGCCCCATTGCATTTTATGCAGTTATGCAGCGACTTTCCTTGTTCTCAAATTTTTAAATACTTCCATGATAATAGCATAAAATGCTATATTAGCTCACATATCTCTCTTTATGTACTTCATTATTATATTTCAATAGATTTCTTACAATGTGAATTTATTCGAAATCTTACATCGCAATGTTACCCATGGCTATTCAGCATTGCACTTACTATGTGAGGAGCATGATGGCTTACTGGAGGCTTGATAATTTCTTATGCATTATCTCTTATCTGTACTTTATGTCTAACTCTTAATTGAATAAGCCTGTTTGTGCCTCTGATTTTTTCCTGCATGGAAGACTGCTCTTTGTGTGGAGGTCATATGCAAATCGCTTAGCATTTTTTATCGCTTAACCAGCATCGATGATAAATTATATATCTCAACTAATATATAACCCTGATAACCAAGAATTACCCTCCTGAAACTTGCTTTTGGTCTTATGCTACAGCTCTGTTGTTCTACCAAAGTTTTTTTTACCGTCAGAAGCGAAATAGAACTTTGGGAAATATATTACTGATCTGCGCACGTATATGCAGTTTTACATTCATTATAATTAGGTTTCGAGACTCAATAGATTTTGAATAAGAACTATGATTGCCCTTGGTCTCCTTAGGAGATGTGAATTTTCTTACTGATATGAGTACCTCATGATGTCATTGCTTCCCAAAAATTACTTTTATCTAGGGTTTATTTCAGTTTCAAATTCACCTGAGTCTCATTGATATTTTGAAGAGGAATCGAACCTGATTAGTGCAGCTTATACTTTCGATATATTAACCGTACGCCATATTGTCAGGAGTGCCAGTTGCAATTGACTACGTTATCATTAGGTTCATTATAGTTAGGTTTCGAATCTATCAGTAGAACTTGAATCACTTTCTAGAATAAAAATAAGTAAACTAGTCGGCTGTAATGGCAAGATACACCTCTGCTTCATCAAAATTTCTAATATGAATGTGATATTGTGGAGGTATAGCTTGACTTGCAATTTACATATGCACCTTGACAATATGGCATAGTGCTGACAGGTCGAAATTGTACGGAGTATTAGTCGGGTTCGATCCCCGTGTGAGGTGCTGCTTGAACCCATGATGGGTCGAAAATGTAGTCCACCCTGAATGAGACTACTTTTTTGGAAGCTGTGCTAAGCGGAATTGAATGGCATCGGGAAGTCTATTCATATTATTGTGTAAAACTTTACTATTATGAAAACTGTCATTTCA